TATCTTTCATGATGTTATCAATCAAGCATTGAAATAAACCGCGAGCAGAACTTACTCCAAATGGTAGTCTTTTGTATCGAAACAAACCCAGATGCGTATTGATGGTGGTGACGTCTCGGGATTCAGTATATAGGACAACTTGGTTTGCCACAACCCCTCCCCCCATGTGGACCAGTAGTTATCGGCCCGCGTAGACTCTGTGGCGCAATCTAGTTCCGGCTTTGGTCCAGCGCATTTACAGCGTGGGCGTTGTGTAGACCAGTGAAACCTAGCACACACATTACTGTAAATACCGTTTGAAGCTCATCGGATGAATTAATATGAGAATCCAGAATGCTCACACTTCCAGTAGTCTAGTGTACACGGACAATGGCTTCTCGCAAAACACCAATTCCATTAATCCAGATCACGTTTACGCCTGTCAACCTTGTCCAGCTCTCCCATCCTCATTAGCGAATCTCTTGCTGAGGGCATCGGTGTGGAATCCGTGCGAACACGTGCGTCATTCCTAACCTACGCGTAGCGAAATGCCGAAAAACTGGCTGTCATGAGACAACAGGTGGCCTTATGACGTCCGAGAACGCTTTGAGGCACAGCGATTTGTTGGCCGAGATCGTGTATTCTATAAAATTCGACTTCTTCTAAGCGGCTAACCCGCGTCCCAATGACGCCACGCCAGTCAAGGCTGGACGCATTTTTGGCTACCTTAATAATCGCTCTTTTTATTCAACTCGCAATAACCGGATCTGGGCCTTCCAAAAGAATATTCAGAAAACTATTTGGCAAACAAACATTTGATTTTGATTAACTTTTATCAGGCAGGTATACTTATATTGTAACGGCTCCTCCCATCCTTCTCGCCATCCACATTAACCACCATTAAATGAGTAGATAGATACCGACCGCCTTTAGTTATCCACACATATTCCCCACCTAGCGCTTGCATGAAAATACGAACAGTATTCGCCTTATCTAATTACTCACATGTTTTTATTGATCTTGTTATCATATAAATGTGATGGCCTGATGAGGATTTATCGTCAAGTAGTCACCTGAATCTTTCTATGAGAGTTTGTTAAACTTTAAAATGGCATATTCTTTATGCGATCATTTTCACCTAGTATCTGATCGAGTCGTCACTTAGTGATTGATCATTAGGGATACCCAATGGTTATTAATCGGAAACAAATCACAGTGGTGGGCTTCCCTTAAAGCCACGTTTTATATTACCACGGACGCCAAACATACGCACTTTTGAACTTTTTATGGTTCTCTGCCGTTGTCCGTAGGCCCAGTCAAATTACTCTCCATTTTTGGACTCCAGACGGGTTTGTTTTCAGCAAACGATGAGAAAGCGAACAACGGATTTCACAAACTTGTATAACTTACGCAAAGATGATTGCATACGAAAAATTCCTACTTTAAAGTCATGACTCCATAAATTCACACTTGTTTTCCCTGCATGTCATCTCTAACATGGGCCCAATGCTGCCCGAGAGATGGAAATAACCCTACTATCATACTTTTAGCATGCTAAAGACATGCGTAAGTGTTTAGGGGCCTTAACTTCATAGCGTACCACGTGTTTCGAACTCTTACACTAATATATAGATCGTTCTATAGAACACGGGTTGGGGAACTAGCAACCTCGGTAATTCGCCATCAGACCAATACGCGCAGACAGCGAGGTGGGCTGACTGAGGCATGATAACGCTGAAGTTAACAGACAGACATCAATCTCCAGGATAATAATTTTGATCATAGGGTGCTCACAGAAGTCAGCCATGCCGCTTGAACCAAGGAAGGCTCATGGCAAGTTTTAGAAGGTGAAAAAGACTGGAATGACTCATGAAATGTGGCCAGTCAACCAGTCATACTAGACCTGATTAATATGGGGGTTAGAACTGGAATTTCCTGGCAGGTGTGCGTTAAGTGAGATGCCCCGAAATAGGTTCATGGGCTCGTCACACCGCCGGTTGCATTCGAGAATAGTAACTTCTACGAAAGTGGAAACTACCGGTTTGATTACTGGCTTTTGACGATTGCAAAGCCAGCAGTTGCCATCCCACTTTCCTCCATCTATGTCGTTATTCTTTCTGCCTGTATGACTGGTCGTTACACGATCGTCTACGACACTCAGTCGGGAAGTTTCAAGGCAAAACATCATGAGCCTGCTGTTTCTACGGTAGAGCGTCGCTTCCTTAAGATGCAGATGAGATGGATGAAGCAGACTGCTTCGGATTCAACACGCTAGATTTACGAAGGGGGCTCGTGTTCAAAAGTCTTGATTATCTTCCTAATTATAGCTCTCTGTGCTGGCATGTTGCCTGACAAATTAAATAAAAAACAAATACGACTTATTACGGAGCAAATACCTGGTAGTCTGCAGCTTTCCCCTTGTCAGGTCGGGGAAAGAAAGAAAGTGATATTCGTTCTCTTAAAACGAGAACCGTTATAGAACTAAGGATCACTGTTTTCTTAATCTAACACTGAATGGGTGACTGCATAGTTCTAGGGAATTAACGGCGCCAAATCTAGTAAGCTTTCATAAAGCGCCCAAAGTGTTCGCGTGCAATATATGGTTAACCGTCGGAGACAAAAACGCACAATTGCACTTTCAGTGACGTTTTAAACAAGAAGAGACGCGTACCATCAAAGATCTGCGTTCATAAAATCAACGTGTAACACGACCAATCTCTTTCGTAATCCAAGAGTGAGCTATAGACTTCCGTGTCAGCAGAGATACTACCTTAGCTACAGCCGGATTTTAGAACCGATAATTTCAGAATGCATCTAACACTGATAGAATATGTAGGCGTGACAGAGTGTCAAGTAGTTGACAGTCCAGTGAGTAGGCACTGCCACGTCTGCCCCTCATCGGGCATCGCTGCGCGCCCATTTTCAGTGTTACTGTCGCCGTTGAGGTCTAGTGCACGGACTTCGGTTGCCTCGTAAATTGCCGTATTTATGAATCAACTCAGTGAGCTGTCAAGGAGTGCGCCGGCTGGTACACAGAGCGCCATTGGGAATGTTATACAGAGGTCAATAGTAAGTTTTATCTATTTTTGTAATCCTGATTTTAATACGGGCGACGTTCGTTAACGAACTGATTTCATTGATTGAATACCTTAAAACGGGTTTCTACGATTCATTTGTATGAAGACATTTAGGCCTTTCTCTCTCTCATCTGTTTACGTATGCGTAGGAGTTTATCTTGTTACCTAGAACGCCTAACCTCCTCTTATGTCCTATGGCAGTATAGGCACAGTCGTGGTTTAAAACAGGATCGTGCACTAAGTTTTTTGCAAACGACCCAGACCTAAAAAGGCTTAGTGTTTTACTCGACGGTACCCTTTCTTCAGTGTCTGTGTCTGTGGGGGGGGGGATTCTACGCACTCACTCCTCTGGTCCTCTGACGAAATTTGATTTTCGAACCTTTATGTTGCTAGCATCGTCCCAACGGGTTTTCTTAGCAAAGATTTACAGAAGAAGGCCGGCTCAGCAATCTCTTCAGCGTGCTTGAGGGGCATATAATTTGCTGACTAAGTATTTTTTCTAGGGTGAGACCCAGAAAATTTGCCATCCGTAAGTGATTTCGTGGGTTTAATCTGACTGCCGGATAATATGATTTTGTCTGGTCTTTGCATATGACATTGAAGGTAAAACAATGCGCGAAGTTCTATCACGCAACCCAGCGAGGAACTATGTGCATATAAACAATGAAGTGGTACTCCATGCTCACTTAAACCTAAATAAAACATGCATGTATTTATTCGGTCCACTAAAATGCTAATTGTTCACCGATGCGCCCGCGAAGCCGAATGCTGCTCACATGAACAGCAACGACCGATCAGTCCACCGGCTGACATGGGAGAGGCCAACCGGCACGTTGATTTGACTACAATTATGCCGACCCCAAAGGGAACAAAGGTCACGCAGGCCTGTCAGCGGTCAGCCCCGGGAGGTCTAAGCCAGTCAGCGGCAAACAGGCAGATCAAAGTTCGTGCGTCGAGCACCGCCATAATACGAGACAAGCGGCAAGACTGAACAATTCAAGACCGGCAGGAGCAACAAACACGCTACCCTGATGATGGAAACGAGGAAGTTTCCGAGGCGTCAGTTCGAATACAATATGGTCCATGAGTTCGTCCTCTCTTCTTATTCATCTTCTTCGGGAGATGATGAACGCGATGCAATGTCTGGACCTCGAATTTTTATATTTGTGCTCTCAATCTTGACGGTGGTCAGTGTTAGTTCCATCGGCGGTGAATTCCACAACTATTATCACTCTGCTTTGAGTATCTAAAAATGTGGATTCTACCGATATTTATGAGTACGTTCCAACCTCGGCGCTTCCCAAATTTAGCACAGGCCTGCGAAACCTATTTCTTGTAAAATTAACTTCCATTGCTAGCTAGTAAAAGCTGTACCAGTGAATTTATTCGTCCTTACAAAAGCACCCAATATTAATTCACATCCCCGAAGGCTGTAAAACTATATCGGTTCGTCCGCCACGATTAGTAAGAACCATCTCTGTCTCGTGGGTATTGTAATGGCTTTCTCGCAAATTGGATTGTGGTAAGGGGGGCTTGCGCGGCACCCAACTCACCATCTCAGCACACATTCGCTGTTTTACGTGGCAAGAAAAAGTCATGAAAAGGAAGTCGCTCCATCGCAAATGCAATTGTCTCAGCATGACGTGGATGGCGGCACTTCCTTGTCCGGGATCCGGTCATGCCACCCCAGCTTCAGTCTCCGCCAATGACAGTTAAGATGTTATTGTTTGAGCATCCGCGCCTGCTTTTTGTACATCGTCCAGGTCTCCGCTCGATACAACAGCGTCGGCAAGACTACAGTTTTGTGTATCTTCAGCCTGGTGTAGAAGTGGCGCCCATGACAATTCCAGAGGGTGTTCTGTAGGTGACCGAAGGCTTGGCTAGCTTTGGAGATTCGGTGGGCCACCTCGTCGTCGATTTTGTTGTTGTGAGATAGGATGCTGCTCAGGTGAGTGAAAGTGCCCACAGCTTGCAGTTGGCGTTGGCGTGAAATGCACTGTAATCCGCGTTAGGTGACGGCTTGAGCATGGCCACCATTTTCTCCGTGTTTATGATCAAGCCGAAGTTGTCGCAGGCGGCGGCAAAGAGATCCATGCTCATTTTCTTATTCCCCTCTGTTGTGGCTTTGAGAGCGCAATCGTCGGCGAAGATAAGTCCATGGACGAAAGTTGCGGATACACGCGACTGGAAGTGCATCCGCCACTGATTGAAGAGTTGACCGCCCGTCCTGTAAGCGACGCGGATCCGGGGGCGTTCGCCATGATAGGCGTCCATTAGCATGGCAGGGAACATGAGACTGAAGAGGGTAGGCGCGAGGACGTAGCCCTGCCTCACGTCTTTGGTCACTGCGAATGCCTCTGAGACGACCCCATTGCTCGTAACGCACGCCATCATGCCGTCTGGTCGCCCTGTATCTCCCGCAGCCACTGTTGCACAATGGGACGACTTCGATAGAAGGCTGCTTTGTTCTTGTCGGTAAGGCGGTTAACCTAGGCTTTGTGCAGCCAATTCTCCTCGGCGAGCAGGTTGCTGATGGCGGCGCCGTTGTCATCGGACCAGGCCTGATTTTGACGACGTGCGCGACCGAGGGCAGCCACGGCGGTCGACTGGACTGTGTCTCGCAGTTGACACCATCGGTTCTCCACGGGTGCGTTCTTGTCGGTACAGGCGACTGGAAGTTCGGCTAATCGTCCGTCTAGTTCATTGCTGAAATGGAGATGGTTAGCGGGCAAAGAAAACAAAGCCATCTGCAACCTACCTCTGAGGCGCTTACTTTGAGGTCTCCTGCGTGGTTGTAGGCGGATCCGCATCCTGAAAATGACGAGGAGAGGGTTAGTCCACCCCTCGGCACCGGGGATCTTTTTTGTCACCAGCACATTCCGCCGGCCTCGCCTCCAGACGAGGACATAGTCCAGCAGGTGCCAGTGTCGTGACCGAGAGTGCATTCAGGTGGCCTTCTTGCGCGTAGGAAGGCAGAAGAAGATGTTGGTCAGGATGAGGCGGCGTTCTGCGCAGGTTCGTAGGAGGAGTAGGCCATTGTCTTTGAAGCCGTCAAGACCATGGGGACCCAGCGCTCCTCTCGAGGCAGCATGGTCTGTGCAAACGCGACCGTTGAAGTCCCTAAGGACAATCAACTTGTCTGCCTTCGGCACAGTGGCCAGGATGTCGTGCAGGTCCTCGTAGAATTTGTTTTTTCAGAGTCAGGTCGATCATCGGGGAAGCGTAGACGCTGACAATGGTGACGAATTTGTCTCCCAAAAAAGCATGTGGAGGTCCATTAGACGATCGTTAATGTCCTGCGGCAGACAGGGCATTAGTTTCACGATGTCGTTCCGGATGGCAAAGGCCACGCTGCATCCCGTCGCTCTACCCTGGTCAACCGCTCCAGAAGAAAGCGTAGCCGCCACCCACCTCCTCCAGTTGGCCTTGTTCGTAGAAACAAGTTTCGCTAAGTTCGGCGATGTCCACCTTGTAGCGCGCCAGTTCCCGAGCGACTAGCACCGTCCTCCGTTCTAATCAACCACTCAGATTGTCTAAAAGGGAACATACATTTCAGGCTGCCAGAGTGAGCGGACTCACCCTCCCAGTCTGTGGGGTTGGGCGGATGGGAGGAGGAGGGGAAGAGAGAGGGATTGTTGTTTCTTGCTTAATGGTTTCAACCGCAGGTATTGTGGTCTGCGAGTCACGTTCTGCGTGCAGGTGTGAACCCAGCGTTTATTTAGGGAACTCTTCATAGCCCCCTCCCCCTCAGCCCCTAAATAGGGCTGCTGAGCGGTCGCCGACGGCTGCCGAAAGCCACTGTGGGTCACGTATAGGTTTAGTGAGAGAACGACCCATTGGCCTAGGCCGCCTACGTGATTACATGTCGCCCTTGCCGTAGGGCTTTACAACTGTGGGGAAGGAAGCAGAGTAATGAGTAGAGAGAGGGAGGAGAGGGAGTGGAAGAGGGAGGGGTAGGGGGAGGAGAAAGGGGAAGGGGAAGGGGAGCAGTTATCGTGTGTGGGGGGTACAAACACGGATACCCTCGCCTGGTTTAGCCCGGCGGCCAAGGCGTTTACCAGGGTGTGGCCGCTGGGCAGAGCTCAGCCTCGAGGAACCACAAGTTAGAGTCTTGTGCCAGTTAATGGACGTTAGGCGTAGCCAACACTTGAAAGCAAGTGAACGACCTACTACCACCATCACATGGAATCCCACCTGGACACCCCTACGCCCTATGGAGGTGTCGCCACGGGCTCTCGTTGACAAGATGATAAAATCCGGTGCTACAAGGACACTGAAGACTTCCCTGAAGCGCCTACGCATCAACCCGGCAAATTGGAAAGTCCTCGCCCAGGGCCCACCGGCCTTTAGGAGTACTGTGAAGGCAGGAGCAAAGATCTACGAAGCGAACCACTGAAAAATCCACACGCGAAGCTCAAAAATCCCAACTGCTCCCCCCTCGCAACGCCAAGGCTCAACCTCCCCCAACATACCCACGATGTCAACGAACGTTCCGGGTGCAAATCGGTCCTATTAGACATCATCGGACAAACCCCAGCACCCAGACGACACTAAGTGGTGCCTCCCGTCCACCTCTGCCTCGTCCCCCACGTCGATAATTAACCCACTAGACTACATGCGCATTCATGTTAACCTGCGGTAGATCACCGCCGGCCATATCACACCCTTAAACCTTCTCTCACCAGCACCTGCAACAAAAGTCTTTATCACTCATTGCCTCACAACGCAAGCACTAAATTGACATCTATCACTTGAGCGGAAAGTGTGCTCCTCGACTCCCTGTCCATGTGGCTACTCTGCTGCATGCGTGATCCGAACCTAAGACTATTATGGTGCATTAAACGCTGTGGCCTACAAAGTTGCCAACTCGTACCCCGCAGTCAGTGCTGCTCGTGTTTGTGAGGAGCGGCCGACCGGTGGACTGAGAGTTGGGCTGCAGTGGCCCCTTCTTAACGTGACCTCTGGCACTCTCATGTATGTGACATCATGCTAATCAGCAACTTTATGTGAAATCCTGGTGCTTGTGTTTGGTGGGGGGAGGGGGGGGGACAGACCGTGCACGTTGCGCGCGCAGACAAGATCATTAGCCATGTCAGCCACCACTGCACCCATTCCCTGCACCAGACAACTGACCGGCCCGAACAATGGCTGGAGCCTGTGAGTGAAAGTAGAGAGTGAGGTCGACGTCTCAACGCATTTTCCTCACTATAAACAATCTGATGCGCTTGATGCTATCACAGTGCGCTAGAAGCCGTGGGTTGGAAGGTTTACAACTGACGGAAAACTTGGACCTCGCAGTCGGCCCAGTGTCATGTGTTTGCGTGGGGCAGCCGACCGGTGGTCTAAAAGTCAGGCGACAATGGCTGCTTCTTAGTATGGCCTTTATGGCACTCCCACTCTGTGGGATCCGAGCTACCCCCTCCCCTTTAATTCTATAAAGTCCTGGTCAATGTACGTAGTGGACTAGGTGGTGTGGTGGTACACCTAGGTGTGGGGTTGTGCCATGCCAGCCAACTGCCTCCTCTGCCGCCTCCGGTCTTCTTAACTCCGTCTTGCACCGACCCAGGTGGACGAGGAGGAGGGAGTTGGGTGGATGCTGCGCAAGTTCGCCATAACTTTAAACTAATTCCCACGAAAGTCGCCATCTCTGCTCCCACCCTGCTATGGAGCGCACGGTGGACATCATCGACAACGACGGCCGAACTGTCATTACTACGTTTAATTTGTCCTTCGAACGTGCCTATCAGTGAGCATTGTGTAAGGTTTACTGGCTCCCAAAAATAGGTCGAGAAATTGAGGTCTTAGAAATAATAAAGGTCTAAACAATGTGCTCTAACTGGAGATGAAACAGAGATTAAAAAGCATGCCACCGAGTCCAAACAAGAGTCAAACTCATAACGACAATTCACACCTGGATTTCAAAATACCTAAGGTCCACCAGAGGGCTGGCAATGCCGCGTTTTTTCTCAGCTGGGAAGCACCACTAGATGTGAGCTGCAAAAGGCAGATAGGAAGGATAAAAGGTAATTGGATAAGCTTAACAAGTTCAATAATCCACGCCAGGAAACTTCCGGAGGAAAGCTGCTGATTACTTTTTTGAGGTTTCATGACTGCACTTCCTAACATGAATATAAAGTTGATAATACGACACTATCAGACTACTGATTCGAGACTGCAGGCATCCTGAAGTCTTTTATATAAGAGAGCGTTGTCAAGCCAGACAAGACCTCTGAGTGGAATGACGCAGAAATACTTCATAAAACCTTTCTAAAGTCAAGATCGCTCGTAGTCACTAGGTTAGAAATCAACATCGGCAGACTTTACTGTTCATTTTCATAACAGATAGAGTTCAAGAGTTCTTGCCTCACTCTTGTATATAACACAATTAGGAGAGACAAGCGGAACTCTAATCAGGTGTTCGGTTATATAAGGAAAAATGCTGTTTCGTGGAAGTAACAGACCTAGGAAAACTATAATAATTTCCACTAGATAATCAGCGCGAAGCAGGAATCGTGTAGATTTATTGCTTAAAATTAGGACCAGTATATGCTTTAATGGCTGCAAGGCAGGCCATTTCTTTGATGAGGATTTTAGGATTTTAAGGATCAATATAAACGCTCTAGAAGATAAAATACCGTAACTGCTTGAAATTGGTCTATGAAATAGAAACCAATACATAGTAGCATTACCAACAAAGACAGCGGAGACTAGCCAGTCTCCATTGTCTTTGTCGGTAATGTCATTCTGCCTATTTTTCGCGCCGCTACGCGGCTGTTGGCGGGACTCGAGAGCCCCAGAGCACAACAAGACGAGTTCCGTAGCACGATCTGTGAGCGTTCTTCTACCAAACCAGGACGTCTCAGGGGGCACACATGTCTTAAGCCTGGAATATCAACAACAACAAGCCCAGTTACAACGTAAGCGGTCAAGCAACATATCCTCATAGTACACCCATATAAAAGCGGCAGCATGTCTTTGCGCCATAGGATGACGTATAGATGTTTTGGGCTGAAGTGAAAAATAACACCCTCTCTGCTCTCGATCAGTAGTAGGTGGCAAAGCACTAATAGCAACGCTAACATCTCCCAGGACTCATACTTCATGATGAAGAAAGGGCATGAGGGACTTGCTGATTTTCTTCACTATCTCCTTTCGTAGTATTGGCAGGTACGGTGTACAGGAAATAAATACGTCGGTTTTTTGATTTCTTTAGAAATAAATAGCTAGCTTGGTGTAAGTCGGTCTTATAGGCTCAGACTGAATTTCGATATAATTATCTGGGCCGAAACCCATCAGCCACTTCGAAATAAGCGCGTGATATCCCCAAGCTGCCAACGGGCAGGCGATAGTATTTAGTGATATACCATACGTGACAGTACAGGTACCAGCTAAATCCCGAGCTTCAGGGATGCTGTTACGGAGGTGTTGGCATGAGCTGGGAAAGAAAGTCTGCATCTGCACAGCAGTCTTAAGCTGTAACTGACGTAGTTCGGCCTCTGCACTGTGTCCCGTCTAACGGTGCGCCTTAAAACTAATTTCAGACGTCAGAAACCAAGAACGCACTCCTACTGACCTCTGCACTTGCACCAACTCTTTTTTAAGGATGTTTGTCATTACCTTGTAGTTAATGTCGGCAAAAAATACAGCACCCGTCTTGCCGAAGCGAATGTTGTTTCTGACTTCATAAAAGACTAAGCTGATTAAGAATAATCGAAAACGTACGTTCGCCGACTTGAATTTCCACAAAATGGTTTGTTGCATGTGCGCTATAATCCGTCAGTTTTCCTCCAGCGTCATATATAGAGGAGTACTTGCGTCGGCCTGCCCACGCACCACTAACTTTCGTTTTTTGTCACCCTTAGCGTTGGCCTTAATGAAGATGTTATGGAATTTAGTAACATGATTTTCAAGAGAACAAGTGGTGGCTCAAGGGAATAAGGCAAACAGCAATGTCGGGTACAGCAGAACGTGACGACCTAACTACACGTTTGTATGGTTAGCCGCGGTAGATGTAAGAGTCGGGAAGCTTTGATGCAAAGGTCGGACTTTGCGGCTTTACTGATCAGCAAGAGTTCTAAATAGTCATCCAGACCATTTACCTAACAACGGTATCGTTCATCAGACGATTTTTCAAAAAGGCCAGACACAGAAATCCCACTGCCACTCACCAGCTACGCAGCGACCCTACCGTTCACGCCCACCATAACGGGCGAGACCCTGTGTGACCCATTCTGGCGAGCGAGAACCAATTCCCGCTCAGTCGAGAGGACCTGTGAGCTCCACTTACCCCTTTGGGCCAAACATTTCGGTCGCATCCTGGAATTCTAGACTATGTGGCACATTCTTGTCATTCCCTGACACCCACGCTGTCCATCCCAATCCAAGGCTGGCGTAAAAATTGTCCTAACTAGTCAAAACATCGGAGCTGACCACTAGCGCGGTGGCTGGACGCGCAACTTCAGCTCCGCTTGCTCCAACTGCACTACGGTATTTCTGTACAGGATGAAGACCTCCTTTTATTGGTATGCATTTTCTTCTCCTAGATGGGCCTTTGTTTTAGAGATAGTAGTGGTTAAAGGGTGGCCACTACCTTATATACTGCAGTAGATGCATAGGGAAAATTTTTGCTGTAGCCCATGTTACGCTGTACAGTGGAAGTAGCCGACTGTTCTAAGCGCGCTGACGATTTGTATCTTTTCGGGTCTGATAAGGTTGTGTAGCCCCACCTGAAGTAAACAAACCCCAGACATCTGTAGTAGGATACCGATGGTAATAGGGATTTTTGCAGGTGGGACCGGGGAACGCACAGGCAACGAGGTCAGGTAATTGTATACAAAAGAAAAGCTATTGGAAATGCGCGGTTGTACTTTAAACGGTTGGGATTTATTTGCCCTAACCCCTAACTCTAATCCCCAGTTACAACCCCTAATCCTAACCCATAAACCAAACCCATAACCCCAACCCCAACGGTATTGTGTCCATCAGGTGGGGCTACATAACCACATCTTACCCCATTTTCCTACTACGCTGACCGGAAACTGTATGGAAGTGCCAATGTCCAGCTTCCCGAGTCTTCTCTATTCTCGGTCAGCCTAAAAGAATCCTGGAGTTACGTACTGAGGATTGCTTTGTAAGTGCCTGGGTTTCCTGGGTTATGTTATGCTCCCCAGTGTCACCAAGTCATTGGTTTGGAACTACAAATATTGTCCAAAATAGGATATTACAATGCAATAAAGCTCATAATATCTGAATATTTGGAACATTTTTCATCAGCTCCCAACAAAAGCAAGACCTCGGTATGACGAGGAACTCGGCGTTCTGCTTTCTAGAATGGCTGTGCTCACAGTAGCCCTACAACGTTACATGTGGAACAGAGCGCGGTAAAGGGGTTGTAGTCGCTCACTCATTGTTTTCAAGATTTCTTATTCCTACACAGAAACGTTGCACTGCAGCTGGTTCAAAGAAAACTTTCCGAAGCTTAAAAGCCGGAAACCTAAATGGAAGTAAAACATTGCCAGTTACGAAAGGTTTTCCATTTAGCCATGTTGAGTAGTAATTTGGATTATGGAGCTTAAACACGTGTATTATTGGGTGAAAACCTTCAGTTAACAGGAATCCTGCGTCTAATGCATAGTATCTCTAAAGCCACAATGCCTCAGGACGTTAATTCTGAGATTTTTGCCTTCCAAAGCTGGCGGGGAAAGGTTTGATTTCTTTACGCTCTCTAGTGGTGCGCTTCATCATGCTTCCGTATTTTTACTGAACGTTCAGCGCTTCCCTAGGGCTCTACACAAACACAGATACTTTTAAAGTGCATTGAGGTGTGGTGCCACAGAAAGTGTTTTGTTTTGGTGCGCAAAAAATACTTCTGTAAAACTCAAACACGACTTCCAATAGCAGTTTAACAACAAGCTGCATTCTCATAGCTACTTTAACTCTTCTCATTCCGTTCGCGTATATACCCGCGCATATTTATCTTTAAGTCCAAGCATAGACCGGTTTATCCATAACAAAGGCAGTAACTAGCCTAAGGGTTCCCGGCTCAAGCATGTACTTGACTGAACGTATCCGGCTTTCTGACCCACTGAGATATTCGCAAAGACAGTGGCCCTCAAGTGTATGGAAAGCAGATCAAGTGTCCTGAGGAGTTCCCATACCCCGAGGCCTCAGGGATTTTTAGTACTGAGCGATGTAGTCGTGTATAAGGTTCCGTCAGATATTTGAAATGAGCATCTATTGTTGATGCAAGTTTGAGCTTGTAGAAAAGCCTCCAAACTTTCATGAAAATAAATGTTTACCTTATAGCCCAGTCGTCCCAGGCTCAGCCTGTATAAAAACAGCACCAACTGTGGAATGTACTCTTGGGGTTGTGCAGTTTAGAAATCAATAATTAATTGCCTTCCTGTGACTGGTAAGAACCGATAAAGTGCCCAATTTCTAATCAAGCGAGACCTTGCGTCTAAGCACTGGAGATATTTCGCCGCTGCCTTCCAATATCAAAAGGACTTACTCAAAACGAAGTCCACCCGAATATAAAGATGTAAAGTACCCTTAATGCAGCCAACATTAGTTATAATGAAAGCCCTCCTTGAGTTCGTCGGGTGGATAGTTAACGCAAACTAGGTTTTAGGTCAACTTTGCCATTGTCTCTGGCCACGCCGCACGTCTGTCTTCGAGCTCCGCACCCTTATTTTTCAGCTTCAGCGGCAACACTTATTTTAAGCTCTCCTTAAAAGGCACTTTGCCGAAAAAGATTCTTCGCCAATCGCAACTAATTTGAACATATATTTTTGGTAACTTCTGAAAAGCCTTGACTGAAATGACCTGTTTTTAAAATAAAAAAAACAATTCGGCACTCCATTACTTGGCCTGTAATAACCAAAACATCTACAATTAGATAGGCGTTAACGTTGCGGCAACTTTTAAATCGTATTTATCCTTGCTTTCTGGAGTTTGTAATCAGAAGATTCATAGTGACCCAACTGTGAAAAACTCGGCGCCTCGGTGGGATTCGAACCCACGCAGTAAGGGGAAGGCTTTAGTACAGCCAACGCTCTAACCACCTGAGCTACGAGGCCCCGCCGGACGACGCGAGTTTTATCACACTTGGGTCAAGTTACCCGCCCAACCTACTGCAACGTCTGGAATCCACCAAATCTGATACAGTAAGTTGACTGCCCAAGCAGGATTTCCTAAGTAATTCACCTAGAATCCACCAGATGACTACTAGGCTCAAGTAATTCATTGATATTTCGGCAGGTGGTTAGAGCGTTGGCTGTACTAAAGCCTTCCCCTTACTGCGTGGGTTCGAATCCCACCGAGGCGCCGAGTTTTTCACAGTTGGGTCAATATGAATTATTCAAAATCTGCCAAAATATCAATGAATCGGGAGATTGTTGTCTTCGGTTTCTAAAAGACGTTGTTTGTTAACCATGAGGGATAAAAGAAGAGCATCGACAAAAGGAAAGTTATTTGCTTCAGCCTTTCAGTTCACCTTCACATGTATGGTAACTGCAAGTGGTGACCGTTTCGTGCCTACATGAGCGATCGCAGTGACCTCAGTGACAGTCACCTTTCAAGAGGATGGTCTATGCTCCTCGGTCTGACAGTGTAGAGTCTGATACGCGGTATGAGCTGAGGCGATCGATTACTTCGTTTCTGACTGAAACTAACACCTCGAACTCCTCTCACGCTTACCCCGAACTTGTCTAATTACCCTCTTGACAGCAAAGTCGAAGGTGTGATTTTGCTCTAGCCCCATGACAACTGAGAGGGAGACAGTGGGTTCTCCCGACGCCTAACGTCGCCCTCTTTTTCTGTTTATGGCTTCTCTCTCTGCCGGGGCCACCAAGACAGTGAAGGTGCTAGGTAATGCCAGACTGTTCCATCGAGTCTATGTATCCTTTGACATGCATGACATGGCTGTCCGTTGTTCCCACTGGCCGGCGCGCGACGCTATCATTAGGCCACTGTTGATGTTCCTTGACCTTGAAGAAACTTCGGATGTTAGGCAATATTTGGGATGTTGTACTCAAAAATGTTGTCTCCTTGTCGCCACCTGCCATTTCAATAACGCGAAAGTCAAAAATGTTATAAGAATAGTGTAGTTTTTCTGGCGCTCGAGTACTTTTCGCCCTAATCCGCAGAACTCTCTCCCGAATGCCTGTCTCCCCGTGAGGCAGGCCTTCAAATGTTATTCAATTTTGATTCCTACTTACAACATGACAGTAAGCATCATATAAGAAGTGAAAGCGATCGCTGGAACAAGAGCTGTATCCGCCTGACGTTTCGGATTCTCGCCCGAACTCATGATCAGAGACAGTGGCAGAAACGACAGTAAACAGTATTTAAGACATAGAATACAAAGTCAGCGGTTTTACGATTGCTAGACCTAGGAGTTTCGCGTCTCTGCCACAGACACAGTCTGTGAAAATAGGCGTGGGCACTCTCTTATGGCTCCTTCTTCAGGTGAAGTTATTGTCACCTTTTCTCTGACCGACCTCAGTCTTTCTCACGTCTAGTCTATGGCAGCCATACTATCCTTGACTCCTTTGGGGGTAGTGGCGTAGAACTTCATAACCTGTTGGACGTTGATACACAGGCCAGTTTGACTAGCCTTTAGATATGCGTTCTCTCGACATTGAACTACCTCACCCAGAATAGTTTCTCCAGGGCCAGTCGAAGGCTCATTAAGTCTGTCTGGTCCACGCTGCGAGTTGAGCGTTTGGGTCCCGTCTACGTGTTGCAGACTACATTCTCAGAGGTAAGTTTTCAGCCTTCATACAGTTTTACTGACGCAACTGTCACAATTTAACCCAGCAGCGCATGGGACCCCTCGATCGCCTCACATTGCCATGAATTGTGAGCATGACTAGTCTAAAAGGTCTCATCAGTCCAAATTCTGCTTCAGCAGCTTCTTTCATTTCAAAAGACGCGTAGACAGGTAATAGTAATTGACAATTTCGTCTCATATATGCAATTTATAACATAAACTAGTAAAATTGCTTATCGATCAACAAAAAATTAGGTTCGAATCGAGTTTAGCCCCTTTTCACTCCGAATAATTATGTCGATACACGATGCTTGACAGCACAAAGATCCTCAAATCAACAGACGAGGAAGACAGAACAATACGAGAATCTTTAGGGACGCGGGAGAGCGTACACGCGACCCAGTAGGCAGTGACAGCCGGCCGCCTCATCGGGCGAGTAACAGCCGTTGAGGTCCATAGCCCCGACGCGAGGTGTATGCGTGCGCCTGGGCTTTGTCCGCCTGTAGACAATCGCTGAGGGACGGGACGTCTATTGTCGCCAAGCCTCTGTCAGGTCGGTATAAGGTTACGCACGGCTCAGGCAACGGAATGACGGGAAGCATGAGGCGACCGAAAGGCTGCATGATTAGATGACCGCGATGACGACCACGAAGGTGGTCTGCCACAGTGTCCCAGGCCAGAGCAAAGGCAATGGACGGCAACACCGGAGGACTTGTCAATGTCGAGGAAGCATAAGTAACGAAGCTATCGCGAAAGTGAGCGCATTGTCCGCCTCGAGCGCTATAGGCAAGTGTGACAGAAGATGAGACTTAAGTGTGTGCTGGGGTGGGAGAGTTGGTGGGAGACGACGATATTGTAGCTGATGGTAACGGAGTTGCAGGAACAGTAGGAAAACGAGATGAAGGGACAAATGGTAGGGGGGGGGGGGCGGAGGAGCAGAGGAACACGGGGCTCAATCGGGAGATTGTTCGGGAGAGCAGTTTTGAAGTGGTCCATGCCCACGACCATCTTCCCAGCTCCTCATTAGATGTAAGACATCCATTTCCCCCGACTGAAACATTGTAGGCGTCGATCTTGAGGGAGATGATTGCTTCGGGAGCAGTAGGGGTCAGAAGGGTTGCGTCGACCAAGCAGTCTCCACCTCGTCAAAAGCATCCCGGACGACTGCGGAGATCTCGGATGAACCTTTGGGACCCGAGAGGAAGTTTGTGAGCGGCAGAGTGCTGTAGGCACATTTCGAGGGGCACCGACGGTAGAAATTCAAGATGCCAAGAAAACACTGCAGTTGGCACTTAGAAATCAAGGGCGGGAATTCACGATGGCCGTGACTTTCGAAGGAAGTGAGTGAATGTCAGTAGAGTCAACCAAGTGTCCGAGAAGCTCGAGGGAGGGGACGCTGAAGGCGCACTTTGGCGGGTTCAGAGCAACACCGAATTGCTGGGCTCGATTAAACACAGTTGCAAGATGCTTCACCTGTTATTCGGAGGTGAACATGACTACAAGGATGTCGCCAATATAGGCGTAGACGAAGGTTAGGCCGTGAAATACTCTGTCTACGAACCTCTGGAAAGTTTTGGAGGCGTTGTTGAGTCCAAACGGCATGTGTGGGAACTCAAACAGGCCAAATAGGACAGTAACGGCTGTTTTCAAAACGTCTTCCTGTGCGGTGGGGATTTGATGAAATGTCCTGGCCAAGTCAGCCTTGGAAAAGACGGCATTTGCGAATAAGATACTGGAGAAGTTCTGAAGATGCGGGACAGGATGGCAGTCGGGGATGATGATGTTGCTCAAGGTCCTGTAGTGCCAGTCACCAGTGACAGTCTTCGGAGCTGATGGCATAAATTCTTCTGTCTGATTCCATTTTGTCCATTTTAATCCTGTGCCTGAGGAAATAGCGCATGAAAAACACCTGTCAGGTCCGAGCGACACCCAGTGAGCCGATCAAACCAACGGAAGGAAATCAATCAATTTTTTCGAAATTGATCTCGAAATATCTTACAGCGACCAACGATCTATACTCCAAAGAACCTAAAGCAAATATAGGAGAAATTTTGTGGTAGGTTTTTATCTGATCTCCGCGGTCAGTTGGCCATATTCGAAGTCCAGTTCGCCGAGGCCATGGACTACTCACTGCAGTACGCTCCTTGATCTGCCTAAGTCCACCTGCTTTACGGCTTTGATTATTAGCAGTTCAAAGCCAAGTAACAAAAGCTTTGCATGATTCCAAATTTAATAACGCCCATTAAGTTGGTGGGAACGACCTGACCTTCAAGAGGCATGACCGGGCAGACTTCCAACGCTTTGTATGCCCAGCCTAAACTATGAGCTATGCACATGGCAAAACTCTTTGGAACATCCTAAAATCCTCTGTGGTTACTTACTTAGTGGAAAAAAGAATCGGGACCCGATTCAGGCGCTGAGGTCCCAAGACGGAGTAACTGAGACGGATGACCAAATGGAAGCATCAGTCTTATCCAGTTTCTTTCATTCGGTATTCACTCATGAAACAAATCCCCCTCCTATCCCTTACCCAGAACAAGAAGAAAATAATCTTTACTTCTCGCCCACGTTGATAATGATAGAACTACGCCGACTGAAACCTGTCAAATCATCTGGTCTAAATAGAATTTGCCCGCTGGTCCTTCGCGAATTGGCGGACGTACTTTGCGATCCGGTGTCCATGTTATTTCAAAAGTCCGTGGAAAAAGGTGAACTGCCGAAGAAATGGAATACTGCCTTTATTTCTCCAATCTGCAAAGGAGGGTATAGGCTTGAGCCCGAAAATTACCGTCCTCTAGGTTTAACCTGAATTTTGATCATTACCATGGAACGACTTATCAAGGGACACTAGATGATGTACCTGGGGCAGACGAACCCAATGTGTGCTACCCAGCACGGATTTCTTCGTGGTCATTCATGTCTTACGAGTGGCCTTTATACGTCAGAAAAATGGACAGAAGTCACAGACAAGGACCGTCCACTGGATGTCGTCTTCTTCGACTTCAAAAAGGCGTTGCACAACGTTCATCCTGGACAATTCCCACATAAGATTTGGAAATGTGTAATACAGGACAACGCTTCCAGAAACACCAGTACACCATAAATGGGGTTCCACTAAAAGAAGTGGACACGCCCAAAGAATGAAGTGTCTGGACAAGTTCGAACTTGCTGCCGACCAAGCACTGCAAAAGAGCCGTCCAGAAGGCAACCATTATCACGCAATGGACTAGATATGCCTTCGTAGTCTTTCCTCCCAAATTCTTCCCTCAAGTATTCGGTACGTTCGTCAGGCCGCATTTGGAGTACGGGATTCCAGCATGGATGCCCTGGATGAAGAAAGACAGTGAAGCCATAGAGCAGGTGCAACGACGGGCGACAAAACTGGTAGACGGTCTTGGGATTCTGTCATATCCAGAAAGACTGATCCAACTTAAGTCTTCCCCCTATCCTATAGACAAATGAGGTGTGGCCTGTTATGGACATCCCGCATTATTCGCGGGCATGACTGTTGGCCCAAATCTGAAGCTTTCTTTGAGTTCGCGAACATAAGTCATCTGCACGGTCATCCGTACAGGCTCAAATGGAGCGTACACACTTAGACCACCGGATGTTTTCATTCAGTCAGCGTGTAGTTTGACCGTAGAACTCACTCCCAAGTGAAATAGTGACATCTGATACAATGGTTGTATTCAAAAGGCAGTTGGATCGTTTGATTTTTGATAAACGACGACTCACTGCAAGACTATCTACGGACAGCCACAAACTTTATTTCCTGATTTCATTTCCTATGTAACGCACCCCTGCACTTTAGACGTAATTTTCTCCCGCAAAATACACAAGTGCTAATCGCATATAATTGCATTTATAATCTCAAATGTACACGAAAAGGACGATCTGCCACTCGGCTCGTGGCCTTCAAAAAACTGCTGGTGCCCAAGTTGCAGCTCCGCACCGCCGACGCATTCTAATGTAAACACCTACATTACTGAAAACACAATAGTAACACGTTTATTTGATATTGAAAGTATCTACGCAGCTTTCAATAGGGTCACTAATGACTGCCTAAATACACTGCTATACCATACCTGTTCCAATCATGAGGCTATTTTTCCAGAACCAGATTTCTGTAAGGAATCCAACTTTGTATCGCAATTCTACAGCTGTTGTAGCTGTGCGCTCTTATTATCTCTTGGAAGCGACTGGTGTTCAGTCGCCAATGGTCTGAATGCTTTCACAACTCAGCATAAAGCGCCCTCATTTACCGATTGACTTTGTCGCAGTGGTTTGCTGTCACATAGACGAAGCTCATTTGTTTGTTTGCCCTAGAATATTACTCCACGGCGTTCGTCTCTATCGGAATCTAACCGTTCCGAATAGAAATCATGGGCCATGGGACTTCGATCGTTATTCGAGTCAGGACAGCGAATAAGAGAGAGCTGAACATTCAGCTACCATAAGTTGTTAAAAGCAGCAATTTTCGATATTTGTTCATTTATCGTTATGTAACCACTTGCCAGAATCCTAGAACAGAGCTTGGG